TGGTATCGAGATCACAGCGTCGAATGGTAGGATGAATAGTGAATGGTGAATTGAAAAGGATTCAGATGGAAGTGGTCGTTGCCTAATCTAGGTACTTTCCCGGGAATTGGTCTGGAATAACTGAGGTAAACAACGGAAACTCCAGTAAAGAGAGCGGGTATCCCGGTCGAGAATTGCACCAAGTACCTCCAAACTAACTAACTGCATGGAACAGAGCCCTTCTTGAGAAGCCGCCAGCTGCGCAGCCACTCAAGAACTTCCCAACACTTAACGGAACCCGAAGATTCATTACCGTGTTCACAAGAGCCCTCCACTGGTCCCTATCCTGAGCCAGATCGATCCAGTCCATATTACCCAATCCCATCTCTTTAAGATCCATTTTAATATTATCCAGACACATACGTCTTGGTCTTCCTAGTGGTCTCTTTTCTTCTCACTTTCCCACCAATATCCTATATGCATTCCTCTTCTCCACCATTTGTGCTACATACCCTGCCCATCCCATCCTCCTTCACTTTTAATTATTCTAATTATACTCGACGAAGTGTATAAGTTATGAAGCTCCTCATTATGCGTTTTCTCCAGCCTCCTGCCACTTCAACCCTCTTTAGTCCAAATAATATCCTCAGCACCCTGTAAGTACCTCCCAAATATAAATCAAAAGCGTTACCGCCGTACAGACCTGTTCGCTCGGTGAAACATGTCCCTTATTTGAAGGAAGAGTAAAATTACAAGTGTGAGATTTGGATTTATCATGGCGGTGAAAGTGCAGATATGCCCTACAATTTTCTGGGATGTAACGCCTTGTATTTATTATTTGTTTGTAGTTTAACGAATATATAGGCTCGAATGATTGGATTGCGAATAATGAAACAGAATGAATATGAGAAAATGTGACCGAAGCGTACTTTCAGAAATAATCCCGTCACTTTCCTAGATCGACTGGGTAAAATCATGAAAAATCCATTCAGAACTGTAGGTGTTCAGGCCAAAGGAATGTGGCATCTGCTATCTCAAGTTCGTGAAACGGCACGAAGCTTTGATGCTGGAAGTTCTTTAATGTAAACAAGTACGTTAAGCTTTGTGTTACTCCACTCATTTAAGCATGTCACATATAGCTCATCCAACTCGAAACGCCGTTATACCCTATTAATGTTAAACACTGAAGCACAAAACACGATAAACCTATCGGGCGGCAAATGTTTGCTCTTCTTTTATTTGATCTTCCTTAAGACTATGAATGAATCCCCATGCCACTCACACTGTTCACACAGAGCGTAATCGATAGATCTCGAATAGCGGGTGTGTCCTACGTTCTTGAAGACTCTATGTGTTACGTAAAGCTAATGTAAAGGTCAACAAGCACCAGGGCCACTGACTTTTCATTCTCGGAACACGTGTCATCCTAACGGGCACAACTACACGCACTACCGTGTATTTTTAAAACATGTGTGCCATAATTATGTAACATATCCATGTGTGACCATGATTGATCCATAACGTTTGCATCATTATAGTGAATCGGATGATCAACCAACCTTATCGCTTTCCCTTTAAAGTCTGAGTCTGAGTCTTATGTCATGAGCGACGGTCAGTCCGCCAGTCTATCTTCGAATAAAGCATCCATCTGGGGCTTACGATCAGATTTTTATTACTGTCAGTTTCTGGATTGTTGTTGTGGGGCGCTCTCTCTGACGAGAGGAAGGGTCTGTCGGTTACAATTGCTGCTGGCTCTCGCCAGCGTAGTCATTCTCGGGTCCGAGTCCCGTGAGACTCGTGACCATATTTTACTGCCTCAGATTCGAGAATTTCCTTCTCGCCGCCTCCTACGACTCGCAGGGCTACCGTGGAGGTATTCGACCCTGCCTCCACACGGGATTAAAGACTGATTTCATTCTAAATATATAAAGACTCAGTCCGTACCTCACAGGAAACGCATTACGTCTCCTCTATAAAGACCAACCGGTTAGTGTTGTTGAAGGAAACAAACGCAGTTTATTGAGACAACCATAAGCAACACAAATACACTCTGTCGGCAGAATGGAGAGTTTTAATGTGTCAAAGCAGGTGGTACGTATAGTAACCACTAGGCTTTAAATGGTTAAGCGGCATGCCGCTTTCCATTAGATACGCTCTTAAAGAGCCCGAACACTCTTCACTTGAGCCAGTATCTGTTGCCAACATCTGAACCCGGACAGCTCGTCAGTATAATGACTGGGCCACAGACTGGGCTGCCAAGAAATCGCACATCCATCACCGGCACAGGTTGCCGACTGCTCTGTTCTCTACAACTTGCAGACCGGTTGAGTGGGTCTTGAGGTTTCATTACCCAGTGGCCAGGGTGTGAAGCTGACCACGCTCCTCCATCTAACGTCAATGTCAAGAATACATGGAGCTATACCTACACTCCCTTATATTCTATATGGTGTGGCGCTTAATTAAGTGCGGGGCAACTTTCCCTTTACATTATAGCTTATATCTTAATTTATGGTTTTTAGTGACTCTGTAAATAGTTCATACAATATAGTGCCGAATTGTAGGAGAATGGGTGAATAAAGATTTGTTAAGGCTGTACAGATGGAACATGCATTGGACTAATCTGAAGTAGGGCCATTATTCGGACATTTGTCTAGAAGGACTGAAGAAAACCAAGAGAAGCTTCAGTTAGTACAGACTCCTTCCGGAAAGAGATCTGAACACGTGATCTCTCAATTATCAGGCACAGTGTATTATGGCTGTTATACAGTGACATCACACAGCAATAAAACCACACCCAAAAAATCACTTTACATCCACTGCTGGAAGTGTCGATTTTTCGGCGTTTCCTTTTGCCCTTAATCGGCCATCCTTTCGTTGTCTTTTTTACTTCCTTCTCGTTTCCTCTGTTACTTTCAATGCTGAACATAATTATCGTGTGGCACGTGACGCTGTGTAGTCTGGTTGAGTTGCAAAAAAAAGCGCCTGCTAACGGGATTATGTCTGTCCGTCTGCCACTCCGAAAGTAAAGACTCGAGAAATGCTGAACAGATTTTCATTAAATTTTATGTGTATATCGTTAAGTTTTACTGAAACTTGTGGGCACTTTAAATTTTTGATTAAAATGTAACTACAATAACGGACTATTTACATCTGGGGCACGCGGTAGCGTAGTTGGTTGAGGCACTATGCTACAAGCCGGAAGGTTGCGAGTTCGAGTCCCGATGAAGTGGATTATTCAATTTATCTAATCATTCCAGCCGCACTATGGCCCTGGGGTCGACTCAGACTCTAAAAGAAATGAGTACCAGGAATGTTCCTGGGGGATAAATGGACGCCGGCGCTTAAGGCTGACAATCTTACCGCCATCTGTGAGCCGATTGTCTAGAAGATGTGGGAGTCTCAACGTCTCACAACCCTATGGGCCTTCGCGGCCTGTTACAGGGATAACGTTACCTTTTACATGAACATCTACTTGTGTTTCTGCGTGCCTCTCAAGTTAATATTTATCGAAGCGAATATTGTTTCGAACAAAAGCTATAAAAAGGAATGAAACGCATATATATATTATGTACAAAATTATTTCACAAGTAATCACGATCTACAAACTGATATCTTAAAGCAAGTAGGCCAGTTAGTTTATGAAGATAAACGCGATTGTTTCTTGATAGTACTCGTCGTCCTGAGACGCTGAAACACAGCGTTTCGGAAACTACGTCCGTTTTCTTTGCAAGATGTAAGGACAGAAAGGTTCCTACTCAGTCGGGCCTCATTACAATTCCTTTCGGTTTCCAGGGACCAAGCCTAGCTCTTTCTAACCAGTTCAAATTATTAAAACAACGAAAACAGAGACAGTTGTAGAAATTTTGGTTTCGAAAAGACTCAAGACTATCAAAATTTTCATATTCATAATCAGTTTTACTGTAACACTCACCGACAGAACCCTTTAAAGCCCAGTGGTTTCTATATACAGTGTGTTTCACAACTTTAGAGTATAACTGCAGGAGGTAATTTCCTAGGTCTCTGTGATCAAAAAAGTTCATATAAACATGTGTCCGATTTTCGACGGTTACGGAGTTATGACCGTTTTTTCATTCCCGTACACGCCCTCGTGTGAACCGCGTCTGTCAGCTGGCAGGTCGCTATTTTTAGCCAGCTACAGACAGAGCGTTCTCGTTATCTCGACACTTGAGATGTACCTAAGGCGTGGTGGGTTGGTATGTCCGGCGTGGTTCACAACCGAGCGGCAGCCAGTGTTGCGGCCGGCGGTGACATTTTCGAAAATCAGCTTTAAGCACCAATCAATTCAAATTAAAGGTAATTTCACGAAGTTAATTTTACATTCATACTTTAAATGTATCATGTATTATGCTGGTTTATTATTTTGTTCCGTTTATTGTCAGTACTCGTTACCTTCTATTCTGAGTTTAAAATGGTCACAACTTCGTAACCGTCCAAAATCGGACACATGTTTATATGAACTTTTTTGATCACAAAGACCTACGAAATCACCTCCTGCAGTTATGCCCTAAAGTCGTGAAACATCCTGTATATCACATGTTATAACACAGCTAAAACACTGCATTCTGCCCACAGAGTGTATCTCGGTGTTCCGTATGGTTCTCACAGTAAACAGCGACTGTTTCCCTGAACAGAATTAACCAGATGGTCTCTGTAGCGGGGATGTAACGTGTTTCCTGTGGGGTACGAACTGGATTTTTATGTTATTTAGAAGAAATTCAGTCTTTGAAGCGTTAAACATGTGAACGTCACCTAACGCTTACAACGCACAGCAGGTGTCTTCATTATACATATCCAGTCGCTCGCCATATTTATTGCTCCTGTCAGCAAGCCGCGTAGAAAGTCACCCCAACCCAACCCCGACCGGCCGTCCAGCCTCAGAAACGACCTTTACAAGAGCTACTGGCACCTCGCCGACTGATAAAGAGCCCGGGGGGGATTGGGACGTGTTATGGAGAGAGGTGGAATTACGCGTAGAATGCTACGTCTAACATGCCTAATATGCTATGTATAAATAGAAGAGCCGAACTCAGATATGGTACTCTTTGTTGGAAACCAGAAGGTGAGAAGACACGAGAACCATGAAGACGACATTAGCACAGGTGACGTATTAATCAGTATATACTCGTACATGTCTAGGGTTTGCAATCCTGGAAACCATTACTGTTGGTAGTTACGGATAGGGCCGCCAGGTGGCAATAAGAGGTACAAATCCTTCAGTCGGCACAAAAGTTTCCACTTTTGAAAAAAATAAATTTCAATTTTTGATACTGTCGGGATATCTCAGTCTGTGCTGTGACTACGCTACGAACTGGACGGTCGGGGTTCGTTCCCCGACATGGAAGAAATTTTTCTCTTTTCCATAAAGTCCAGGCTTGCTCTGAGGCTCACCCAGCCTAGGGAGTTAAACGGCCGAGGCGTGAAGCTAATTACCTCAATCTAGTGTCGAGGTCTAAAATGGAGTTGTACCTCCCCCGCCCGAAATATCTTCATGGAGTAGTGCTTAATTAATTAATTAATTACAGGGAGAAATTAATATATTTTAATAGATGGCAGTGTGGTATTAAGTAAAACCGAGATGTGATGTTTAAGCACGCATGAATGGCAGCGATATCTGTGGAAATTGTAGGTGGAGATAGAAATCCTTTATTTCTAAGGTTGTGACCATCTACTGCATCTGAGATCACTCAGAATAATATCAGGCCAGCTATTTATTTCTAGATATAATGGCGTTGGTAGTATCGAGAAACAAATGTTAGGAAAATATATTACGTGTATTTGTCAGTATCTCTTTCGTAACCAAGAGCGAAATCATTCAACTGCATACTATATTGCAGTTGGTAGCATTGTGACAGAAACAAATTGACGAGAAAGAGATGGTCGGCCGTTTCTGACACAGTCTCTTTAGCTTTACCGAAAACATTTCCTATAAGTGCAAATACTGCCTAGTGTATATTTTTATAGTAACAAGTTTAGACCTAATTGTCCGTCCGTCTGTCGCACAACTGTGTCGGCATATGCCCTGATTCAGCATGACTCAGTTGACGTAACGTCGCACTGTTTACGATATAAATACATTTTATGATGAGTTCAGGCGCTGTCGCCAATTACATAGTTAACTGGTGACAGAAGTCCGGCTGACAAAGTTTTAGTATCTTAGTGTAAATGTAGGCGAATCTCCAGTACTTATAATTGTACTGAGTTTATGTACTTTTTTTTTTACCAAGTCTGTAACGATTTCCCAGTGAAATTTCAACAGACTTTACGCTATTGTAATGTAATCTTTACTTTTCCCTGTAGGTACATGCTCCCTTTTCATCAGTGGTGCAAATTAAAACGTTGATTATGTCTCCCTCTATTGTCACAGATGACAGCACTGTCGCTGATTGTCATTGCGACTTCAGCGCCACAGTCTCGTGCCGCCGTCGGTGGGCCGAACGAGCCAATCCCTATCTTACGTCAGGAGAACGAAGTGAACTTTGACGGAAGCTACAAATACAGGTACTACGGAGATTAAAATAAATGTTCACGGCCTTGACCGTGAAGAGTTCTGTCTTCTGGAATGTTTACGCCGTGTAGGGTCGAAGGGTAAAGACAGTATTTTTTGTTTATTTACTGCTTATTTGCCTTCGACCTAACATTCGACCACCAAAATGGAGGCAGTATATTCCACCTAAACGTCGGCAAGGTTCTGCCAGAATCTACAGAGCTACATCCCAGATTATAAGACTCTACATACCGAACAGGCTGATCTAGAGGTAAAAATCTCAAATTTACTTCAGTTCATATACCGGTCAGGGCACCGGCTAACATGACTGAGGATTTTTTTTTATTTTCCCCAGTCCCTCTTGGCAAAATCCTGGTTAGTACCTCGTTCGTGCCACCGCGGTGATGGCACACATTATTACCATTTCATTAGCCTATCGCCTGACGCTCTGCAGTCTTTATACTGAAATAGTCCATAAATAACCCCCAAAGTAATCTGAAGAACCATTCCTGCTTACAGCTTTGAGACTGGCAACGGGATTATCGCGGAGGAGAACGGATTCCTGAAGAACGCGGGGAACCCCGAGGCCGAGGCGCAAGTGGCCCAGGGTTCATCCTCCTACACCTCCCCGGAAGGAGTTCAGATCAAACTCAACTATCTGGCGGACGAGAACGGGTTTCAGCCTCAAGGCGCCCACCTGCCCACTCCACCGCCAATCCCTGAGGCCATCCAAAGGGCTCTGGACTACCTCGCATCCCTGCCGCCCAATCAGCCCTAGGAAAGCTTCACCCGTCTCTTGTAACAGGTCCCAAACTTTGGGTCCCCATGGATCACATCTGTGCCAGTAAATTAACTTAAGATTTCATAAAGCTCAATTGCTTCTACATGTCACTTGTTATGGTTCGGCCACATAGAGCGCTACGCTATGTCCGCTACGCACGCTACGTACGCTGTGTACACTCTGCGACGCAGCTAACATAAGGAACATAGCGTACGTAGCGTATGGAAGTCTGTGTGGCCAGTCACATTGGCAATAAAGGGAGATATTTTCCTGTTCGTATAGCGAACATAGCGTACGTAGCGCTCTGTGTGGCCGAACCTTTAGACCTGCATTATCATGCACAAAGGAACTGATTAAAAACAAAAATGTTAGAAGCAAACATGTTTCATGGTGAGGACTGCTGTATAAACCCTTGTGAGTCGTAACGAAATACACGAACCATGAGACAAGTACAAATCTGACAAATAACATCATTTACATAACATTACAGATCAAGTAGGATTTGAGTTTCTTACAGCGGTGAGTATGAAGAGTTCTATCTTCTGCGATATAACGCCGTGTAGTCCGTTGAAAGTCTACTGACGTTTCGGAGGAATATTTAACGTCGAAGAATAAATCAAGCAAGAAACGAACGTGAAGCAGTTAGAAAGTATTACGAGACGCTGATTGACTTCAAACGGACTGCATGATGTTTTATCTCAGAAGATATAAGCCTTCAATGGAGACTGTATTGCGCGGAAGAGCGTGGGCAGAACGAGCTCTGACAAAATCCATCTAATCCCCTCAAATAAAGATTTCAAAATGTAAACCAGCATGAAAGTAAGTTCGGAGAGACCTCTGATACAATGGAATGATTAATTTTTTTAAATTACATATCAGGTCTCAATGTAAGTACGAGTAATACTGAAAAGGGTGACGTCCAGGGGAAGTGGCGACACCTACAAACTTAGTGGACGTAGGTTGGAACCTCTGGTTTATATTTACGACATAAAATTGGAATAGAATGAACTAAACAGGCTTCTGTCTCCGCATAGGAGAGAGGTGGGAATTTCAGTAGAGGGAGCAAGACGGTGTGCATAATTTAGAATGATAATTTACAGTAGATGGGCATTATACTGTAGGTATATGTTCTGGTCTTCCTAGTGGTCCCTTTCCTTCAGATTTTGCCACCAAAACCCTGCATGAATTCCTCTTCTCCCCCATTCATGCTACATACCCTGCCAGTCTACTTCTCCTTGACGTGATCATTCTAATTATACTTGGCGAGGAGTACAGTTATGAAGCTCCTCATTATGAAATTTTCTCCAGCCTCCTACTATTTCACCCTTCGCCGGACCGCAATAGATTCTTGATCCAGATAGGCGTGTGTCCCTGCGTAGCTGATCTGCGCACTTCACACACGAGTGAGAGTTCATGTCATGACCGATAGCGAGATGGCGCTTTCTTGCAATGAGCAGTATTATCTCACGAAGGCTCTAAGGCTGGGGCTACACGAGCGCACAAAATGCGTCCGTTGTAACGAACGTCATGACGTCCGTTGTAGAAATAAACAAAAGAGGCGAATGCTACGCTTTCTTCTGGCTCCATTGCAGACAAAAAACTACGCACCGCATTCTGCAACTGTGTGCTGTCCTCAGCAACGTCCGTCATAAAGTACGTTCGTTGTAACGGAAACAAGTAACAAAAGAACAGAGAACGTGGCATAATGAGGACCTTCGTAATTATATAGTACTCTTCATCAAAGGTAAATCTGTACTTGAGCTTAATTAAGCATTATGCTATGAAGACGTATGGGGAAGTACAGGTATAGCTCCACAATTACTGACCTCAGCAGTAGATGGGGGTGAGTGGCCAGCTTCACGCTACTGTCCATTTATCCCCTGGGAAAGTTCCCCCGATATCTATTAGATAGTAGGCTGGGTGTGGGACGCAAAAACCGGTCTGGACTCTATGGAGAACAGAAAAATCTTGTCCCTGCTGGGATTAAAACCCCGGTCGTCAAATCCGTAGCCTGTCGCTATCCTGGATCTAGTCTTCATCAAACGTCAGAGATAGACGGGATAAATAACATGCGCAGACAGAATCCAGCCTCCGAAACGTTGCGTTTTAAATAAAAACATGACGATGGATAATGTCCAGAAATAGAGTAGCTGTATCATCATCACAAGCGTTCAGATGCAGACAATTGTGCCTCCTTACACACCAATGCAAATATCTGCCCTGCAATGATCAGACCTATAGAGAGCATGAACAAGGACATGACCCAAAAGTCTCAAAAACATTTAAATTTACTATACCGTAATACCACATATTAAATAAGTGACGAGAGTAAGGCGGTTGGGCGACAGGGTCACCTTTTTAGAACAGAGGAGCATAAACCTTGCAAGAAGTTCACTCTACATAAACCAGCGGGGACTCGACGAGTAGGCAGACCTGCCATCAGGTGGCTGGATTCAGTTGACAGATCTGAACAGACTGCGTTTCGGAAATTGGAGACGTAAGTCACAGGCTCAGGACCAGTGGAGGGCAATCGTAAGAGATGTCAAGGTTCATCGTGGACTGTAGCTCCCGAAGAAGGAGGAGGAGGAGGAGGAAAAGGAGTATCAAACACCAAAATTAGTACTTCCATAATATTCCTCTGAACAAGATATATCATTTAGCATACATTGTTGGAAAAGCTGAAGGAAAAGAGACCACTAAGAAGACATAAGCACAGATGGGAGAATACAATTTAAATGCATCTTTAAAAAACAGAATTCGAGAGTGTGGGTTGGATTCATCTGTTTAGGGTAGGAATCAGTTGTGGGCTCCTGCGAACACTTCCGGTCCTATAAATATTCGACTAGCTTAACAACTATTCGCTTTTAAAAAATGGACTCAGCTCCATGTATTTAACTCCCCCCCCCCAACCCCACTTACAACGAGGCGAAAAGCGTTAACATATATTTTTGGGGAATGGAATGATACCCTCACCGGCCACACAACACAAACGACGAGCCGCATGCGACCCACGTGTCACGAACTGAAGGTCCTGGTGTATCTCGTAGTGAGTTTTGTCATCGGGAATATAAACAGCTCGCCCACTCTAAATTGTATGGATTGGCCAACAGATCCTGAAACTGTCACCGCTCAACATACTTCTCACAAATACTAATAAAGTCTTTAAATTTATCTCCCCGTGTGAAATACTAATTTCGGTTTTGTACCAGTTTCACGTCAAGTCAAGGTCCTGTGTCGAAACCAAGTACAAGTCAATCCATGCTAAAGTTAGGACGATCTTGCACGAAGGAACACCCAGTCTTCTTCACCTGTTTTATATATCACACAAGGTCGTCTGCATTTTCCTGGAGAAATGTCGAGTCTCACCAAATCGGAGACGACAGGGGGGTGGGGGCAAACCACAAGCATGGTTATAGTCTTATTTTTTACACAGAGGAACGAGAAGACAAAAGTTTGTGAACTGAACAGTAGCAAGCATTACGCAAATTCAATCTGCAATTACGACAGAAATTGAAATTAAAAATTTCTGAAAATATATCATATACTAATATCAACAATTATAATTATTTAAAAAAATATATTAAACTCTTTCAGAGCAATCAGTAAAAATTGTCTTAAACGGCTCAAGCCTCAGTTCATTAGCAATTTTTTCTGACTTTTCCTTACCCTTGGGAAAGTGGTTTGCCCCTCTCCGCCCATCGTGGGAAAGAAAAGCATTATGGCGTCCATGAAGCGAAATGTTAAGTTCAGTGTTTTCTTTT